CCCTCTTTGGGGCTGCAATGGTAATGAGCTTGTCTGGCGATTGAGCTGCTAGTTGAGCAGCACCCAAGGGAAAATCTGAGAGCATCTAATTGCTGAAGCCAGCTAAAGGAAGCTGGCTGGAGATGAGGCAGGAAAATTTCTTTTCAGGAAGTCAGCTGTCACAGAGGCCAAGGGACATCACGTGCCAGCAGGAGGCTGCATCTGATAGCTGCATTTGCAGGAGGCTCTTGTTCGAAAGGTTTTGATCTCTATATCATCCCATTTCTACTCTCTTCCTCCCCAGGGGCTTGTTTTCTGCTTGGTGCACACAGTCACGGGTCAGCAAGCTCACGTTCCCGGGGGGCACGAAGGGCTTCTCTACTCCACAGGCAGTTTTGTTAGCAGGTGAAGCAAGTGGATGAGGCGTGCAGGATATACCCTGGAGAGGTTCCCAAACCCAAGGAAGTGCCCTTTCAGAATTAGGGTCTTCCTAGCTCTCTGTGGCTTATCTTTACTCCAGACTTCTCCTTTTCTAGCTCACTTTCCATTCTCCCTGCTCCTCTCCCGTTTCATGCATTTTATGCTTTAGTGGCATGCAGTGGTTTCCACTCTGCAAGGCAGGATCACCAGTCCTTGTTTGGAGTGTCTGGGGAAAGAGGGCTGGCTGGTCACTGCCAATTTTTGCTTTCCCACTTGCCATCTTTATTTTCTTTGCTTTTTATCTCTTCTGCCCTATCTCAACTTTTACTCCTGGGCGCTAGGTTGCCACTTGCCTACTTAATACCTGCTCTAGGCACCTTTCTTTAAAAATAGGACTACCTGTGCCATTTGGGACATAACAACCCTGATGGCAGAGGAGAGCTGGCCGTTTGGTTAGGGTGGTAGCGCTGGCTGGAGGATCAGAATAACACAGACACCAACACTGCTATTTTCTCTCTCTGTGGGGGGTTCTTGCTTCTGTCTGCAAGCGAGGTGACAAATCTATGCTAAGGAGTGAGGAACTGGGAAGAGAAAGATCAAGGAAAACAGCTCACCCCCTGGATGTCTGTAAGCACAGACCTGTTCCCATCCTGAACCGATGAGCCTTGCTATCCAGGGATGCTCCCACTCCTGATGCCAGCTAGGACACAGAAGCACTGGTTTGCAAATCACTGGGCACCTCTACCCTGCACGCTGTTAAAACAAAATTGTTCTCTGCTGGGGTTTAGCATTCCTTTAAAGAGTTTATGGAGCCAAGGGAAAGTTAAGCGTGGGAATGGAGTACAGTTTCCTTCCTCAACTCTCCTTCTATGCATTTAACTCCAAATCAGCAGTGGCTTTAAAAAAGCCAAACCGAAAAATAAAATCTGCGGTGTACTTGGAGCCTGGCCACACCTGCGTTCTGGGCCACGGCGGCAGAAGGGGGCCAGGGCTGGGCTTGGTGGTAGCAAAGTGGGCAGGGCCTGAGAGCATCCCCAGGGCAGGATGCCACCCCGCAGCGCAGCCTTTCCCGCGCCTCAGCTTCCCCACACACCCGGTGCTGCCGTGCGATGAAGCTGCCCTGCTTCTGGTTGGCTTTGCAAGCTGCCGGGCTTGCCACCATCTCTGCCAAGGTAAGGGGGCGGACAGGGTCTCCTCCAAGCTCTTCTGCGGGCATCTTGTGGCCGAGGTGGGGGATGGCACATGGTTTTCGTTGCAGCATGACCCTGTGTTTGTTGCAACGTGACCCTGTTTGTCATGACTGCAAGGTCTAGTTGGATTCCAGGTTATTAAATACTTCCTGAATATCTCCTTTCCCAGGTGCACATCTGCTAAGCTGTTGATGTTTGTGTAGATACAACGTTATTTTACCCCCAAATAAAACCAGATCGGCACATTTGAAGTTTACTAAATGACACATGACAAATTGGTTTTTAAAGCGTCCATGAAGAGAATAATAACGATACGTTGGTTAGATGTTAAGCAGCACGTGCAGTGAGAGGAAAGCGTATGTTCGTCTCGTGTTCATAAATCTTTTTAAACAAGGGAGCCTGAGCAGCAGGATGGCACGCGTGCATCCTCCCTCGACCTCTGCACGAAGGTCTGCCCTTTGGGAATTGACTTTCAGCTGCTTTCGTTTTTAATCAGGCTCTTTTTCCCAGAAGTCTCTGTACATAGAGTGGGGAGACCATCTTGGCTCAGGGAAATGTTGTTTCTTGGGGTATTTCGGCTTTGTTAAGTAGCTAAGAAAGTGGAGTCAGTGGCTGTTGGCCCAGAATCCCTCCTGACTGCAGCTGCAGTGCCTGGAGCAAGAGGGGTCAGATCAGGTGAAGGGAGCGGAGAGTGGGGCTGTTGGAGCTGCAGGGACACAGCCATTGGGGCCGTCTGCTGGCACAGGGAACTGCTGACCCTTTGTGACAGCAATTCGTGTCTTCTGTGATCTTTGCAAGGAAATAAGGGCAACTACGGGCTGTTAGAGCCACTGGTAATTCAGCATGGCTATGTCTGTAGCACTGAATTGGCAAATGCTTGTTGTGACACCTCGACGTGGTCTGAGATTAACTCCTGTGGTTCCTGCATGTAGTCTTAGATCCATCGCCAACCCTACGTAGTTTACCTAGCGCAACACCAGATGGACCGACAAAAAATCATTTGTGCTGAATGATGCATTGTGGGCCTGGCCTCCTTCCTCGTGTCCATGTAAATGTGGAGGCGCTGGATTTGTGTCAGGGTGGTTTATACCCGTGGCTGGAATCAGCAGGATTTTTGAGCTGTGCTAATTTTTAAGGTGGATGCTGATTAGCCCTACGTAGAACTTCTTATGGGGAAAGCTCCTGTTTTGAGTAAATTTTGGAAGGGAAAAAAAGTTGTCAAAGTGCTTTATTTTACTCTCTTCAAGAAAAAGAAAGGTTTTTTTTCCTTTCTCATTTGAGTTAGGCTTTCACTTATAAAATCACTTGTATTTATAAAACAACTTCAAATCCAAGTAAATTATAACAGTTTATACATAATAAACACGGCCCCCCCTCTCCAAAAAAGCCTTCACAATTGAAAAGAAAGCACGAACCAAACTTTTCAACCTTGACATTTCTTGAAAATATTCACCTTCCCTCCCCATTCAGAATGGGAAAAATTCAGAAACATCCATTCTCATGGCATGGCACAATTGCTGCTCAGCCCTAGCCACGAGGGTGCTGATCTGCCAGGTAGGGCTCTTTTGGGAGAGGAGGCTGCCCTATGAAAGTGCCGTTGTCTTTGGGGTGTCCTGGCCCTGAGAGCAGCTCCTAGACTCTGAAACGCGATCTTCCAGCAGAGCGAAGGCTTTGGCACAGCCCTGCTCTGGCTCCTGTTGGAGCTCACCTCCCAGGGCTTTGGGGAAGAAGTGGGACAGATGCCTGTGCGGAGCCGTTCCCCGTCCTGTGCCTTGGGCCATGCAGAATCGCAGGGTCTGGCAGTGAAATTATTGCTTTCCTACTTGTCCTCTGTCCAAATCCAGCTTGGCGTTCCCACATGAGCATCTGTCTCGGGTCCATAGTGCAGAGCAAAATCAGAGCTGAGTAACGGGTTCAGTTGAAAGGAGTTAGGGTGGGAAGGGTGAGCAATACCTCCTTGTACCTCCCTGCTCCCCTGCCAGAGCCCCAGAGCCACACGAGGCAAGTGTGGGCCTGCATCTCCCTCTAGTGACTTTTCTAAGGTTATCTCTGTTCATCAGCAGCATTGCACTAGCCCCTAGGACCACCAGCCAGGGTTGAGGTCCCATCACGGGCTTTTTGATGTCAAACACTGGACAGAAAGAGTCGTCTGTCCTCCGTGGAGCTCAATGGGAGTGTGGAGCAAAACCCGAGCAGGTGGTGGTAGCATGCCAGGGTGATGGAAATGCTGTCAGCCGTTTTCAGAGAGGCAGCTACCCACTGCTACCCATCAACAGACCCGTGTTTGTGGCTCAGTGTGCAAGCCCCATGTGAGAGAGTGACACTAGCGCTGGGTGTAAAACCAGACATGCATTTTAAACCAAGGTGCACTCTGCAAAGTTTAACTCCCCCCCTCCACCCCACATTCAGAGCTTTTGTCTTGAGTATGGATATTTTTAGGAACAGAGCAATTTTCCTCCATCCCTGGGAGGTGCTCGGATGCTCTTTGTAGGACTGGAAGAGCCACTGCTACTCACACTATCCCGAAGGGACCGCTTAATGTGGCAGCTTAAGACAAAGTGAATCCCTTGCAAGCCACTGTGTTAAATTAATTTGTCACGAGTGTCCAGAAGGCTCCACTTTGGCTTGCGTCTGCCTTCCCTTCCCGACCCCTGGGGGTTTGCCAGAAGTGTTATTCCAGCTGCTGTTTGGTTTGGGAGGAAGCGTGCAGTGGACGCTGGAGAAATGCTTGCTTTGAGACGTCTGTGCCTGCACCGTTTCCCCGGAGACTACCAGGAGCCTCGAAATATGTGGAAGCAGCTAACTGAAAGGCTGAGGGGACAGACCGATGTGACTTTACAATATTTGCTTTAATTATTTTAGTAATCACTCCCAGGCTTGGATTTCTGTCACTAAACTGTGGGCTCTTCTCTCAGCACCCCTCCAGCATAGAAAAATATATCTAGGATTATTAGGATGGGACTTTGAGAAGGAGATTTTGTGTTAAATTTGGCTCACCCTGACAAGTGTAGGAGAACTGGGCAGTGGTCCCTTGTTGAAGGTGAGTTTTATTTGAATGCAACTGAACTTATCCCCGCTGAGCGGTCCCGGCAGTAAGTCGTGGGTTCCTGCTCGGGGCTCACAGGCTGTGGGCTGCCGGGTCCCCTCCAGCTGTGCTCACACCTGCAGGGAATTAACAAGTCATACTGGGACGAGCAAGGAGAGCACAGGGGGAGGCTGCGTGCAGCATGGTGCTCACACTGTCCCAGTCAAGTCCAGGCACTGTTGCGCTAAAAGTGGGTCATAAGTACAAGTTGGTCCAGGATTGGGTCAGCTATGCAGAAATGTCCTCTGAAACCTGGAGCCCTGAAGAAAAAAGCTGCTGGATTTAAAAGAAAAAAAAATCAATTTTTTTCCCTGCTTTCTTTTCAGGATTCGAAATTCACCAATTCTGATTTGACCTTGGGGCCACCTTGGACATGGGAGGACTCGCAGGAGACCCTTAGCCTCCAGCCTGATGGAAATGCCTTGACTTCAGTCACTGCTACTGACGTGCCATCTGCTGAGGAGGAGGAGGGAAGCCTTTCTATTGAGGAGGAAGGCTTTGAGCTGTTGAACTCCACCTATAATAAAATCACTGGCCCTGGCAGGCCAGGGCTCGGCCGAAGTGGCCCACCAGTTGCTCGTGATTCCAGTGAGTCCATTGTTGCTGTTACCTCCCTTTCTCCTGAGCATCATCACGATGCTCGAGTGGCTGATGGTGCTTTTATCCTCCCAGGAACCTCAGCCAAAATAAGCAGACCAGCTGCCAAGAAGGAACGTGCCTCAGATCCCCGGGAAGAGAACGTCACCATGGAAAAGCTGAAGGGTGATGTGGGCTCCCACATGTGGCTCTCTCCCAGCAAACCCGTTGATGCCGCTGTTGATCTGGACACTCCTTCCGCCTTCTCCAAAGTCTCTTCATCAGTCAGTCGGACGGCCACCTCCAATGGAAACGTACCCAAGGTCCTTCCTGAGTCACTGGGCAACGGGGAGGTCGGAAGTACCCTGGAGCGTCCTTCCAAAGCTCCTGTAAGGCCTGAGGCTGCAACAACCCCCCCGCAGGCAAGGCTCAGCAAAGGTGTCCACAATATGTACCACAATATGGCTGGGAGTGAGGCCAAGGGCCTTGCAGACCACCGAGAGCAGGGGGTCCTGCCAATGGCGGATGGACAGCAGGTTCGCATGAAGCCAGGACCGCCGGGGCTGCCAGGACCACCAGGCCTGCCTGTAAGTAGAGGAGGAGATCGCTGTGTGTGGGGAAGGGTGCATGGGGAGACAGCCAAAGGCAGTTTGTGTACAGCGGGTCATCCTGAGGCAGTGGAGCAACAGCAGGAGCGAGTTCAAAATGTCTCTTTGTCCTAAAACATGTGGATTCAGAGGAGGGAGACGTAGGTAGGCGAAGCTGAAATTAGAAAGTTTTCTCATACCAAACGTGGTGGAGTCCAGTCGCTGGGCTGTTCCCCTCACTGGTGTCTGTGCTGGTCTGAGATGTGGCTTTACCTCCTGCATATGCTTCTCCCAAGCCTGGGTCAGACCTGTGAGGGACCAGGTATCTGCTGTCCTTGCCCACAGCATCTGACAGAGTTTATGGGTGCAACTCTTCCCCTCCTGACTGTGACAGATGTTGGAAGCGGCCAGCTGAGCTTAGGTCCTGGCACTTTGTCATGAGAAACCAAGCAGATGGATAGATAAACCTTCTTCATGCATGCAGTGTACATCTGTGCATCAGCCCCTACGCTTGATAAGCAGCAGGTTTTCTGATGTCTCCTAGGGAGCTTCAGTAGCAACCAAACAGGAAGAGGAGGATGGATACCATATATATATACACCATACAATACTGATCTCTCCTGCCCTAGAGTTGATCTCAAGTCATTTATTCACATTGTTGATTTTCATCTCATACAGGTCCTGTTGGCCAGAGCCAGGCTGATGGACTGTGAGCGGGGCATAGTCATGCCACAAAGTCTTCTCCAGTCCCATCTCCCTCTTAGCAAGCCTCAGGCCTCAGCCCTGGAGGGGGCCTGTGGTCACTGCTGGTGTTGCTGTGCTTTGCTTCCCCAGCAATGTGACAGCCAAAAAATCATGCTGGATCAGAGCAAAGCATTTAACTTGTCTGGAAATACAATATTTTAGTTTTTTTTCAGATTATTCATCCATTATATTAAAAAAAAAAAATCTTTATTTTTTAGTCTAGGTAAATCTAGGATAGATGAAGATTTAGAGAAAAAGTCAGTCTTCACTGAGAAGTATCTGAATTTTTTTTTTTTTACATATTTTCCCCTGTTTATTTATTCAGCCAAAATGATATGCTAAATTTGATTCCATTTCATTAAAATTGAATTTTTTAGTTATAGAGCAATTATATGTGTGATTATCAGTCACCCAGCAGGACTGCTGAGAATGGCCATGAGCTCATTCTCATCTTCTCGTGGTGCATAGATGAGTGAAAGCTGGCTGGGACGTTTCTGAATTCAGGGCTGAAGTTTGGGGTTATTTTTCAGTTGGAAGCTGTGGATTAGGTCTGTGCAAGCGGCTGTTTTGACAGCTGCGCGTCCGATTGATTGCCACTAAATTGTCATCCTTCACCTGCAGTTGCCGTGCGATGACACTGTGGCGGTTGCTCCTCTGACAGCTCTGACTGGGTCTCTAATGATAACTAACTCGGCGCTGGGTAAAGCGGAGTAATCAGACCTCGAGAAACTCTGTGCCGGTGGAGAGATTAATCCCTCTCAGCCCTCTCTCTCAGACAAAATACATTTTGTGAACATTCATGGCGTTCGTCATCAGTGTGTCAGGCCTCATAGGACACTGGTTAAATTTAGGACTGCCAGCTTCCCCCTCAAGCCATCTTCTTGTTACCACAGTTATTGCCTGCAAAAATAGAAGAAAATAGCAAAAGGAACAGATGCTAAAGGAAGATGAAAAAATCCCAGGAGTCACAGAAACGTCATGCCGTTTGACAGCCCTGCTGTCACTCTCTCAGGGGAGGGAGGAAACATGGGAAGGAAGGACGAGAGCCAGGAGGGAATTGTTTTTCCCTTCCTGTAGAAAATGCTGAGATTTTGTGTCACACGCTCCGATGAAAGTCCTGGATGGAAAAGGGGAGAAAAGCAGCTTCGCGCTGGCATTAGGGGTTTGGTGTTGAACAGCTCACAGTGCAGTTTTGTGGCGGAGCTTGAACCCGTATCTCTAACCCCACGCACAGGTGTGCTTCTGATGTGCTGTGGCATGGCCAGAGCTGCTCCTCTTCTAGCTAAAACCATCCCATGAACGTGGCAACCCTTCCCGAAGCCTTGTCATTGCTCCCAGTTCCTTTGGTGTCTGAGTGCTGCTTGCCAGAGCCGTGTCGTCGTTGCTGGGAACTTCCACCACCGGGCAACTGTCAGTGTTTTGCAACATGTCCAACTCATGACTGGTGGAAGGGAAAAAAAGAACAAGCAAAAAGAATAAGCAACCTGCCTTAGCAACCTTCATTAAAGAGAATGTTGAAGCTTTCCTTTAGAAACCTGACTCAACCTTACCTCTGGTTTTGGTGTTCATGCTCTCCATGGGGCTTGTGGCATGCCTTTGGTTGCTACTGGGTCACCTTGGGCGTCCTTACCAAGCCGCCAGGAAGTGAGAGTCAGACAGAGTAGGTGTCTGAAGATGAAATCTCAGGTTATTCTTAGAGGAAAGGTTTGGAAATAATGTATTTTTAGTGTCAACATTTTTGCTTTTTTTTTTTCTTCCCCCTCCTCCTCCTTCACTGGCAGTGTCAATCAGGGAAATCAGCGAGTTTTAGGGAAAAAATGGTGGTACTAAAATGTCATTTTCTGGAGTTTAGCTTAAAAAAGAAACCCCCAAATCAAAACACCTTTACCTCCCTCTGATAAAACATCCTGAGAGCAGGGAGGAGAGGGGGTGCATGGTCCTCCCGAGCGCAGCTCAAGGAAGGTCCATCTGTATTAGGCAAGAGCAGGGAGAGAAAGCAGAGCTTGGAAAGGAAATCTGGGAGAAACGGCTCAGCTTCTTCTGTATTTAGTATCATGAGGGTGACATTCATACCTGACTGGTTTGTCACAGTCAGTTAAGCAGAACAGAGAGATGGGCTCCTCTCAGTCAGTTGAGAAGGAGAAACCGGTCCGTATCTCATTGGGATGTGCCTCGAGTGCCTGGGAGGTGATGGGGTGCGCGGCGCGAGCAATGCTCCTGGCATAGTTGCGAAGGCAGAGTCTGTGTGTGCGTGTGCACACGTGCAGACACAAGGACATTTACATCTGCCTATGCAAAACCTGCTTTCCCCTTAAGTCACAGAATCTCCTTTCCTTTTCCAAATGCAGAGGTTAAGCATGTGCGTGCTGCCACGTTGGAGCTGTTTATGGCTGTTTGCTTAATCGCTTCCCCTTTCACATCTCGGGGTTTTATATGGGCATCAGGAGTTTCTGATTGCATCCATATAAAAGCAGCAGCAAAGCCACTGAAGGGCTTAGTGATGTCCGTGACGCTTCTGGGCTTCACGCCTCCTCACGTTTGTGTTTCTGGTAGGGCAGGTGGAGGTGCCGGTAGGCGTGGAGATGGGGAGGTGTTTGAGCTGCAGTGGTGCAAGGACTCTCCGGAAGGTTTCCTTTTCGCAGTCTGCCAATCCGTAGGGCTCTGCGGCTCCCCTCAGCTCCCTGCTCCTTAGCTAGGTGGGATTCTCCCAGCTGGCCATCACAAACCCCTGCTACTCCCTGGGCAGCGTCGCAGTCCCAGGGAATGGCACGAGCTGCGGCCGGAAGATTGAATGCAAATCCTTAGTGTAGCAGCTGGGAGCTGGTCCTTTTCCAGCTTTGAAAATGGGACCCAAAATGTTACTGAAGAAGGTGGGCTTGAAAATGACTGTAGCAGTTCACAGTCACTCCTTAGTCCTGTTTGTCACTGTTTTCACAGGGCATTGATTGCTCTTCCCCTTCCCACTGTTCATCTGCTCTGGCCACTCTTTCGACATGTCTCTCCAAAATGGGCTTGAAATACTCTCCCCTCTGGAGGAAGAAATGGTGCCCAGGCTGCCCTGCCCTTGGGAAAGCCAAGAGATACTTTTGTCAGCCAAGACCACTTCTCCTTTTGGAGCATCACAGCGAGAGCGGGACACGTGGCTTTGGGGAGTGGTATTCATCCCAGACAGCTGTGGCTGGCAGCATGGCACAGACCCTGTCCCACTTGTAACCATCTATCTTCCATAAAGGCATCTGAGATCTGTGGGGAAAAAAATATTGTGAGAAGTGGAAAGCGGTTATTACTTTAAAATTTGCTGATTTTTATGATCTTGATAATCCTCCTTGCCATGATTTAATAATTGTGTTTCCAGTATCCAAAAGCTTCTTGGCTTTTGTAAACTCTGTATTTCACATGGAGTTCCCAACAGTCGGTAAGTATTGGCAGGCTTTTCTTTTCCTTTCCTTTTTTTTCTTTTCCTTTCTATTACTCAACCTTAGCACTGGTTGTTTAGAAGCAGGGTCGTGTTTTCTATTCCGAGGCTTAAAGTGAATCCTGATGGAGCCATGTGGTGTCAGGGACAGCGTGAACTCACGTAACAGGCAAATGCAGAAACATATCTCTGCTTTTCTCGACGGAGCCATCCGTTGTGTCATGACACATTAAATTACAGCTGTCGGGTCACACTGGAGGAAGAGTGATTATGTTGCAGAGCGGCACTGTGTGTGATTTGCAGAGCAAAATACCAGCTCCCTTCTTTAAGACATCTTTTGGATCAATGTTCATTTTCTCTCCTGAAATGTTACAGCCCTTCAATTCATTATTCCTGGTGCTCTCAATCTTTCTTTCTGATTTGCATGAAATGGCATCAACTTGAGAGGAATTCAGCTGCTTAAGGGAGAGAAATGCATGCTGTCAAATTTTGGGGATTGCTGTTGTGCCTATTGCTCTATCCTGTGCTGTCTATCATGCACTAAGACTGTTTGCCTGCAGTATTACCCTCATCTGTGTTCGTGCTGGAAGTGGTTACGGGCAGTGCTTACAGAAGAAGCCGAGGGGTGGCAGCTGGCAGAGGTTTGGTTTTTAACTTCCCTGGTAGTCCCAGCAGAAGACCTGGGAATGCAGTGTGTTGCGGCAGAGGAGGGCAGATGGAGGAGGAGAGTGGATGAAGTTGGGGTCCACTGAGACCTGCTGGTGGCCACATTAAGAGGACGGATTTGCTGGGCACCTCATCAGCTGCTCTGACATTTCAGCTGGATGAGCCAACATGGACCTAGACCACTGAGTTTGCACAGGATGATCTAGAGGCTGCACCCAAAATAAGTGACTGGACTCCTTAGCTCTCCTGAAGAGGAGCCATGAAAGGCAGTGCTTACCGAAGTACCTAATTTATATCAGCAGCAGAACAGGGAAGAGGGGCCTGTGCCCGAGGAGCCTTGCAATGGGCACAAGGTGCCCACAGTGAAATGCTAGCAACTCTCTAAAATGGGTAGCATTTCTGCAGAATCGGTCATTCAACGGCAAACATCTAGCTCATTAAGAGCAGAGTGGTAGGTGCTAAACAGAAGGGCCTCCTGGCACTGGGAGGGGACCCTGCTGACTGAGGCAGGGTATTAAAATAAAATTTTAATGTTATGGCGGGGGGGGGAGGGGGTTGCTTGGGGGTTGCTTTATTTTACCTCCTTCAGCAATATCTGTATGTTGACAGTCAGAGCAGTTACCAGCTGTGCGTGGCCCAGAGCCTCTGGAGATGGATCAAGCTGCGGCCCGGAGCCCGCTGGGCTTCAGTCTCCTCCAGCAGCACTGTGCTATGCTGCATGCTGGTGCCGGACTCTGGGCATGCCTCCGTGTCAGAGTAGTTGCCCTTGTGGAGAAATAAGCCGGATACAGAAGGGAGTTTGTGATGATTTCAGGCGCACTGTCCTGATTTGCGTCAGCTGAAGGTCTGACCTTGGAGGTCTTTTTATTGGTTAAAAGGCACTTTGGGTGATTTCTGAATAGAAAATGTTAGCGTGTTCCCATTGCACTTGATGTACTTCTTCAGCTGGTGACGTGGCACACCAGGGGTTGGTGCCCACCGAGAGGGATTTGGGGTAGCTCTCTGTGGCCCCCAGGTGTCTTAGGAGCTGAGGCTCAGTTCTTTAACTCGACCTGAGGCACTTTGGATGATGAAAGTCCCTTTGGTGAAACGTTCTCAACGCCAAAGTTGTTTCTGAACGTGCAACTTGGGCTTCATGCATGTCTCCTCGGCACCGAGACCAGAGCAGTAAGTCCTCACATGGCCTTAGGGCTGCGCTGCTTTCTGAGCCCGGCTGGCTCCAGGTTTCTCAGATACGTGTCCCGCTCTGCTTCACTTCAACACATGATCTGCGTTGGGGCCATGTCATTCAGCACCTCTGATCTCAAATTCCCAGACTTACTACAGTGATCAGACAAGACAGTTTGCAAGCACGGAACAAAAGAAGAATATATGGAAGCCGCCAGACATGCTGGCTCAGCAGCAGAAGTGCAAGCAGATGCTGTTCTCCAGCCCAGCAGTTTTTCAGTCTTTGCGGACATCTTCCTGGTAGATTTCTTTCATCAGGAAAAGCTGGGATCTCCCATCTGACTTTGTTTCTGTCCAGACAGATGCCTCGCTAAGCCTTGAAGTGGGGTCGTTGCTTGGCCAAAATGCTCATTTTGGACTAGAGATGAGCCAGATCAAATCTCATATAAGTTAAAAGCTGCAGATGTCTGTCTGCATCCTCATCCAAACTACTGTTTGAGTGTGTGGCCATAGTCCAGCTTTGTTATGGTTTTTTTCCTAACAGCTCTGCATTTCCCCACCAGGTGTCAGGAAATGTGTTTCTGCTCCCCTAGCTGTGCAGTCTTGGTCATTTTTGCAAGGATTGTAGCAGAGTTACTTTGCTCACCTCAGCTGTCGGGGCAGAGATGCTTGCTAATAGCAGGGCAGGAGGAGAACAGAGCAGCGTAAAATGGGGTACATCATCTGCAACATCAATTCTCGGGATGAGATGCTTGTGCTATTGGTTTCCTCGCAGCTGGAAGTCAAATCACTCATTTCAGTCCCTGCTTCCCTGGGGTTGTTTCAGCTCTGCTCACAGAGCTTATAACGCAGCCAGCCCCGGGCTCTCCACCGGTCTGGGTGGTCCTTCAGTAGCAGCTTTCTTCTGCTGAGGGGAATGGGAGGAGCAAGCAGAAATTAGTGATGCAACTCTCACGCTTTGCCTTGCAGGGTTGTCCAGGGAGACGCGGACTGATGGGACCCAAAGGAGACAAAGTAAGTATCCTGGAAAAGGTGTGAATTTACAAGACATGGCTTAGAATTTGGGGCAAATACAACTCTAAATAAACTGTGCCCTTTTTTGGAGGGAAAGGAAGAGGCAGAAGAGTGCCTGACCTGCAGTCAGCAGGACTGCAAAGGGCTGGTGGTTCCTCAGATGTAGTTTAAAGCTTTAGCTGATCCAGAGCAAAGCTCATGGGGACTTTACTACTGGAAGCCTCAGGACCCTGCTTAAATTATACCGAAAGATGCAAGATTGTCTGCTGAAGGAAGGGTCGTCTCGTTATCGCTAGCACACTGACAGATACTCTGTGATACTGTGGATTAGGGATGGTTTACTCCTTTCACTGCATCCTGGTGTTATCTCTTTGGGCAGATAGAGCTGTGTGACTGTAACACACAGCGTTGTTGTAGTCCCTTGGCAAGGCTTTCTAGTGGTAGAGCACTAGGTTGGTATTAGGAACACTTGGCACTTTCTGGCTCTGCCATTGACTTCTTAGCAAGTACCTCTCAGTAGCCTCCTTTGCACAGAAATTTCCGTCTTATGCAAACGGTACACAAGCTGGTGCTGCCAGGTTGTGCTGTCTCCTTGTGCGTATGCTTCGATACCTGTGGCATGTACCTGGGTCTGGGCACGTGCATGTGTGTGTTAAGCTCATTGCTTTTGCTTTCCCAGTTGTCAGGGTTACTTAGGATCTAGTCTGAACCTAGGATTTTTTTAATAGGTCTAGACCCAGGCTTCCATCAGAGTTTGTCTTGAGTCGGAGCCTGTGTCCAGTCTTGCATGTTTGTGTTGACGCCAAAACCCAAGCTGGTTTTAAGAATCTGCTCATATCCTCCTAGGGGTACCCTGGAGCCATGGGGCAGACAGGGCCCCCAGGTGACCCGGGCCCTCCAGGCATCCCTGGTGTCCCTACCATCGTTCTCTGGAGGAACTCCAAGGAAGACTGGCTGACGTTCACGGTGAGTGACCGCTGCGTGGGAGCGGAGGGGGAGAGCTCAGCGCTTGTTCCTAGGGCAGTTGCAGGTAGCCCCAGCAGCAGTGGAGCAGGGCTGAGCCCTACTCTCCTGGCCTTCAGTGAGGAGCTGGGCTGGGGGATGGGAGGAGAGAGTCAGGGAGAGGCCATCTGGATGGAAACCGTGTGGGAGGAGAGGGAGGATGCCAAGCAGAAATGTGCTCCTCACTAAGGACAGCTCCAATGCAAGCTGTCTGGGTGTGAAATGGGCTCAGGATGCATTGTATTTATGCCTTTTCCTTTATTCATGTTGCATGTTACTGTGATATGACATTAGGAAAGATGTATTAAAGGCCTTTGGTGTTTTAATGCTTTTTCAAGCCTTATCTCATTGCCTGCTGGTCGCAGTGGGCCAAGTCTGCCCCAGAAACGCTTGTTGGTGTTTGAGGGCTAGCACAAGCCCTTTTTCCAGCGCTGAGTCTCTGCCCTGGGGCCATGTTCACATCTCAATCCCTATTGCAGCCTAACTTACAGACTACCCTTACTGATCTCAATAGCAAATATCACATTAGAGGCCTAGAGTAAGGAGTTTATTGAAGTGTATAGGTCTGGGTCATGTTTACAGATTGGTGACAAAACCAGAAGGCACAAGTCACACACCCTAACAGCTGTGGTCACAGAGAAATCCATCTTTTCACCTGTGACTGACTGGAAAATCTTGGGTACCAATGCTGTGCGCACATCTGTTACCTCCCAAGGGAGACTCGTACCATGCCTGTGTAGGGCCTAACAGCCCAAAGAAGATCCAAGCCAGGCAAAAAGCAGCCCCTTTCCTGCTCTGCGAAGCTAGTTACAAAGCATTGCTCCTGTTTTGCTCCATGTGCAGGTTCTCTGGCATGCACCAACTGTGCAATGTGTGGCTCTGGCCGGCAGGGTTTGTTCCCATCAGACTTCTTGCTAGGATGAGATATTGGCTCTTCCACTGCCACCTGAACTTTGCTGCTTCAGGGAACGCAAGGGCCGGGGCCAGAGGAGGAATGTTTCATCTGCCATGTAGCTGGCTGCAAAACACTATGCATGAGGATTACAGTTGCATTTGGTTTCTGCTTAACTTGTGCAAGCTGCAAAATAACAACTCCTGAAGTTACTGTTATGTGGTGGTTAAGAAATCTTCACTAGTGTAGTTAATGGAAAGAGAGTACTAATCCGTTCCTAAACCCAGCAGCTGGAAGTGAGCAAAGGAAGAGGGCTCTTATTCCAGGTAGCAGGGCGCCTGCTGTGGTTGAGCTTAATTTCGAACTCTCTTGTGAACTGTGACTGAGACTGTCAGGGCAATATCTGAGGGCATTAGGTTTCTAACAGCCTTAGGCACTGAAAAAGCTGGGCTCAAGCTCCCTGAAGCAGGGATGCTCTCTGTATTATGCATTTGCAAAGTCCCTTTGATAGGACTGCAATCTGTTACAGCTGTCCAAATAATATTGGCAGCTCAAAGCAAAAGCCAGGTAGTGTGGCTCAAAAGGCAAATTGGTGCAATGGGCAGAGCCCGTTAGAGCTGATGTGAGAGGCCAGGGTTCAGCTCTTTGGATCTTTAAAAGCTTGCACTGCGACCCTGGGCAAGACAGTTCGCTTCTTATCTTCAACTCATTCATTTGTGAATGGTGTGGGGGGGGGAGGTTATGGCACAACTCTGCTCCAGCACATATGCCTTCAGTGCTGGCAAGATGATACAGCGAGGGGGATCTCACTTGTATTTATTCCCTTGAAACATCACCATTCTTGGCCAAAAACCCAGATGTGTCTGGCCTGATCGGTCCTGCCTGTGCCTCGGTAACAGGTTGGTTATATAGTCACCCAAATTCCCACATGGCATGGGGAAGCTGCAGGTGCCTGGGCTGCACCCAGGTAATTCTCTTTGCTTTCCAAGAGGAGGTCATGGGGATGAAGAGTTTCCCGAGGCAAGCGCATACCCAGAGCCGCACCTCAGGGCTGCTGTCACCCATGCCAGCAGTGAGCAGCGCACCCCAAAGAAGGGCCAGGAAATAGCAGACGAGAGTGGAGCAGGGTAGATGGTGCAAGGATGCGGCAGAGACCGTCTGCTCCTACAGGGCTGCTGGGGGTATGGCAGCAGGGTGGGAGCGGTGAGAGATCAGCCTGGGGGGCTGCAGGTGCTTGGCAGGAGATGAGAGGGATGCCTGGGGATTACAAGCTAGGCATTCAAAATTATTCAACACCCACCAAGCTATCAAAAGGATTATTCATGTGTGACCTGCTGGATAGGAGTGGCAATGTCTCCGTCGGATGTGATTTGCCAAGTGCGTTTGAAGTACTCTGGTTGTTCAAGCACGTGCCCTCCTGTGGGCTCATCTGAGGTAGGGTGAGTGGCAGAATGTCTCTGGGGACGTGGTGGCCCAGTTTGCCCATGGCGCTGCAGAGACCAACCCACTAAAGGCAGTCAGGTGCGGTGTTGCAGCATGTGTGCTCTGCCATGGTGTGCTGAGGTCTGCGGCACTGCAGGGGTTGGCTGGGTGGTCACAGGTGCAGCAGGCTGTTTGTTCCCATCCCTCGAAGATTCACCAACCTTTCTGTTCCCAGTGATAGGGAGGGAATTGCATGGCTTCTCTACGCTATTTGGGATGGTGCAGCTTTGTGTGTTGGGGATGGCCCCAGGGCTACCCAGGAACCTGCACCTACCTTATGTTGAGTCAGAAGTCCTTTGGCCAGGTCAACCCTATGCGCTTTGGCTTTGGATTGGATCAAGGTGGCAGAGAAAATAAATATCTGCTTCAGACGAGATCAGGTTCTTCCTCGGAAGGGCAAGACAGCTGATCGCTGGTGAACTGGGTACTCCTGTTGATCCAAACGTGGTTGACCTCCAGGTTCTCCTGGCCTCCTGCTGCTCCAGAGCGGAAATTATGCTGAGAACAGCCCTCAGGAGGCATGCAGGGATGCACAACCTAGGACCAGAGCTGGAGGAGGAGAGAAGACAGAGAGCTGGAAGTGTTAGTTGGGAGAAGTCTGCCATACCGGAGAGCATCTCCGTACCTATGTAAGGGCAGCAGTGTTCCTCCTAGGATGCGTTTGGGGTGGACACCTGCATATTCGATCCCTGTTATCAAGGTATGGTTACGTCACTTCACAGACGCCAGGAGATCAGCTTGAGGACCAGTCGCTGATGCTCCTTGCTCCACAGGCTCTGATCAGCCAGAATGGCATTTTTCCTTGCCTGTATTTGGAAAGGGGCCTCCGGGTTTGTTGTTTTACACCCTGAAACATTTCCACACCCTGAAACATTCCCTTTTAGAAATGTCGCCCCAGACTGTGTTTTCTTTGGTTTGCTGTGAGCATGGGATAAGGCGTTAGCAATACGGAAAGGAACACGCAATTGCAGCCGTGTTTGGGGAGGCCAAATCTGGAGAGCTGCTTGTTCCCTCCAAGCTGTGATCTCGGCCCCATGTCTAGGCACAGTCTCCCTCGGGGTCCGTGTGCTGGCACTTGGCCCGGTGCTTTTGGCAAAGTGCCAATCTTCAGGGGACAGCAGCATCTGGCAAAGAGGGCATTGGGCACTCAAGGAGTTTGTTCTCCTGTTGGGCCTTTGTTCTCCTGTTGGGCCTGTGGCCATATAGTCCTGGCAATGGTAGTGGCAGTGTTTCACATGGGAGCAGGCCATGGGCTGTATTACAGGGAGTGTAAAGCAGTGCCATATCCAGCTCCAGGCCCTGTGTTTTGTTAAACTTTGTCAAGATAGCGCAGGAGTGAAAAGTGACGTGCTGGCTGGAGTGAGGGTTGTGGGGCTATCTGCTTGTGGAGCCAGCTGCAAGATACTGGGGCGCTTGGAGAGGGCCCAGAGAAGTCGCGAGCTTTAGGACAGTGCTGCTGTTATGAGACAAACGCTTGCGATCTCGGGGACATCCTTGGGCTGCCGAGCTTTGTAGTGGGCTCAGCCTCTTGAACTTCAAGTCAGAGGAGCAACCTGTCAGGCCAGTGTGGCAAGAAGGATGTGGGAAGCAAGGGACATCCAGGAACTGCTCCAAAGAGTTGCAGCTGCCGGGACACTAAATTCTCTCTCCTACCTCCTTTCCAGTGAAACAAGCCTTACTGCTCAAAGGAACGGAGCAAAACCCAACCCCTATCCTGTGTTTTTGTTCACGGTAGGTTGACAGACGTTGGGTTTGCCGAGAAGCTGCCTCAGTGTAACTCTAGAGGAGCAGGAAGCATCAGAGAGCAGGAGCTGCCCTGGGAATCACTGTCTTAAATTCAGGCAGTATTTACTTAAGTAGCCATTGAAGTCCCAGAGGCCTTGGAAAGAGGAAGGAGAATTGTAGCTCCTGGAGTAATTAGGGAGCTTAAAAATCTGCAGTGCTGGAGTCCTTTTTTTTAATCTCTCCTCCTAACTTTAAAGGTAAGAGGTCAGGCTGGGAAATGAGAGCTGGTAACTTTAGAACATAAGAAAATATTGCTCCACACAAAGAGTAGCTAGCCTTTAGGGACTTGCCACCACTGAAAGGCCAGCACCTAATGCAGCTCTCTGACTGCATTTATTTCTGATGGTAATAACACGTGCTAGCCATGGCATGGCATGGCATAGCATGGGAAGGTAAGCAAAGCCCATGCTCTGGAGCATAGCCTGCTGCTTGGAGAGATGTCAGAAGGATTTTCTGTGCCCCAGTCTTGTGCTGGACTTTCACAGGACAGATCCCATACAGGAACCAGAGGCCCCCATTCTCTGTCCCCTCCATTTACTTGGAATCCCCATACCCATCACTCAGCTGCCCTGCTGAGCAAAGCTGCTGTAAGGAAAGTGCACACTGTTTCCTGCTTAAATGCAGAGAGCAGTTAATTTCTCTCCCCTTCTCTTGGCATCTGAAGTGAGAGTTCAGGTCTCCTGTGTGTTATTTTGTGCTTTTAAAATGTTAGATTCTTTTTTTGAAGCCTAATGAAATAATACCCTGCCCCAAGTGAACCTGAGTTCATTGATTCACAAGACAAGGCAAGAGCATTGGCCGTGCTCCAGCCCCCCCAAAAGTCTTTTGTGAACAGTTTTTTGAGGGAAATGAGAACTGACTGTACGAGGGGGTTGTGGCCCAGCCCTTGCTCACTGGCAAGGACTGTGCACGTTTGCTCACGTTAATCAATTTGGGATAAACTTGAAAGGAACCGAGATGCCTGGTGCAGCATTAGAGCTAGTTAAATGTATCCATCCATCATCTGTCCCGAGAGCTCCACTTATTATTAGAAATATTTCCATATGTTGAAAGGTCTGTGTTTATTTTTGTTAATGAGTTCCTTGGCTTTTTCCCTTCTTTCTTCTCTGGTATCAGAGGGCTGATCTTTGGAGAAGGACAGGAGGGTTTTCCCAAAGGCCCCAAGCCCGAAGCTAGGTAAAAACCTTGCTGAGCACATGGGAATCCTGTTCCTCTAATTGCTTCTTTTTTGGGCAAGGAACAAGGTAGGCTTTTTAGCCTTTGATGTGAGTTGGAGTTTGGAGGAGCTGCCTGAACCATATGTCTGGCCTCACTGTGGGCTAGTGTGGAGTGAAAAGGAGGGAGGAGGAGGAGGAGGATGAAACACACGTTTTGGCTCCTGAGCATCTGTCGTTTTGTGCTGCTGGAGGAACAGGAGGGTGGCTAGTAGCTTGGAGATGCACCCGTGTATTTTTTGGTCATCTCTCACTGCCCAAAACCCTGAGAAAAGTGTCTTGGGAATGGCTGTGCCATGGAGTTTTCAGACCTTTATGCTGGGTTGGCAGTACTATGGGCTTAGCTGCTCCTGTGGCACGCGAGTTGTTTTTTTTTTTTTTCCTTTGTGATCATCTGATATTCTGAAAAATGGAGGTACCTAAGAGATTTGGCTGTTAGGAGCAGTGAGGAGAAAGCCTGTATGGCCACGACTGCCAAGGGAGTCTCCTCATCTGGGGTTTCGAATGGAGCTAGTAGGGGATGTGGTTTCTGGACTGTGGCAGTCTGCTGTGTCAAAACATCTGAGTGTAGTTCACCATGGGATCAATTTGATGTTTTTCATAACTAATTTATGCAAACTCTCAGTTTAGAAAATTATAAATTACATTATTGAGAAAGTTGATTCTCTAGGATGGGAGTTTATTCTGTTAAGTGTCAAATCTAATAGACTCCTTAAAGTTCATTAGTGCTCTGTTGGAACTGCAGTAGAAAACATAAGCAAAATATTCCGCTTTCATTTGCTGAATCCTCTGTCAAAATCAGCACATTTCTGCAAAACCCTTGGAGTTTGGCAAAGAGCGCTTTCTAGTGGAGAGAATCTCTTTGGGCCGAATGATGTGGCTGCTTGGTCCCAGCTGTGCTGTGCCACTGGCGCTCCCCATGGGTTTCTCCAACTCTCTGGTTAAGGGTGGGCATGGCTCTTTGGAGAGAGAGAACCCAATATAACCCTTTTCTTTAACCTATGTATTTAACTACCCGTGATGTGCTTAGTGCAGTGGAGGGACACAGTGAAGGCTGTGCAGAGAAGAGTGTTCTGTAGCAGAAGCAGATTTATTTTTATTTGACTGATTTGGTTTCCTCCCCAGTGGCAAGGAAGGAAAAGCAAGCCCTTGAGAAGGGTTGACTGAATGGAGAACAGGGGAGAGTGCCGTGCCAGCTGGGAAATGTGGGAGGTCTGGAGAGAGGGAGCAGAGTATCCAAACATGTTCTGGCTACACATTAGTTTTAAAAACCATATTCCCAGGCAGCGCAATGGATGGGCTGTGCTGCAGGACTGGAGGATGAAGATACCCTTGACTTTTGGCCTTGGCGCCTGCAGGCTGCGTAAGAGCTGTAACCCACCCTGAGTTATACAGTGTTGTTTATCTGTTGAAAGCCTGATTTTTCCCCCGGACCAATCTATAGCTCTTGTCCAAAGAGAACATCTCCAGGAGCATTAAGCACCCCACAGATCAGCACATCTGGCTGAAGACTCACCTGCATCCTTGGCTTGTCCTATTGGCATCGTCCCATAGCAGCAAGCTCCCAAACTGAGCGTTCAGGGCTAAGCACTACCTGTTGCCACCTTACTGCTGATGCACTTCCCAGTGCCTCTTTGCAAATCTCTGCAGGTGCCTTGAACCCTGCGATTCGCATTCCCTAGGGAGACACATGCACAACAGGTAGCTCTTGTTGCTGCAAGTCCTGCTTCATCGCAGTGCCAAAGGAGCCTGTCCTTTGAATTTTGTGGTCCTCGAAAGGGCAGCCCAGTGGTTAAAAGTCTCGTGGCTTTCTTTGGGGCTTTCTGACCCCAGAGTTGCTCGAGGCTTACTTCTGTGCTGCGAAACAGCCTGTGAAGTCCTCTGTAAAACACCCTGAGAACTTTGTTGCCAGACAGCAGCAAACGTGGGTGGGCCTTAAGCAGTGGCTGACCAGAAGGAGGGATAAAAGGAGGGGTACAGCCAAACTGGCAAAGTGAGCACTGTAACCCTGTAAGTGATTTACTTGACTGTAAAATGTCAGGACGAATGTTTGGGAAGCTGTAGGTAAAAGAGAGTAGGGATGCCAGGGATGGAGGCAGCTGAGCGTGTCAGTGAATCTTGACCAGCAATCAAGCAGCTAGAGTGTATTTTCTCAGCAGAAACAGGAGGAAACTGTCAGTTTAGAGCTCTGAAAGTGTTTTTTGAGGGGGCAGCTTTAGAGAGGTGCTTGGGGGGCAGTATTTCAATCAGTTCATGGGTCCAGGATGTCCCTTGGATCTCTCCACACCTAGCTGTGCTGTGTCCTCAGATTGAATCTTCTTCTGTGACTTGTATTCACCTGGCATAAGAAATAAATAAATAAGAGGAATGCCTCATAGCTGTGTCTTCCCAAACAACAGGAAAACGACTTTGAAGACAGCAAAAAAGGGTATTTCTCTGCTGGGATCTTTTTGACATTTTCCTTTCTTTCCCCTTTTCCTTTCAGCAATCATCATTTTACCAGCTTCTGCATGCAGGCTGGCCGGTGAGTACTGACTGTTAAGTAAGTTTCTGTGTTTGCTTTTTCCTCTGCTTGATCAGTTGGATTCTCCTCTTTCCAAGCTTTGTAACAGTGAGATCTGTTTTACCAACATTTCCCCTTTTTCTTTGATCCAGAGACAACCTGGACCCGCTGGGCCCCCAGGACATCCAGGGAAGCCAGGAGTACCTGTAAGTAAGAAAAAACACTCGAGTTTGCCCTCTGTGGTGCAGTTCTGGCTTGGCCCCTTTGAGATTCATGCTTTCCTTGGGAAGCTGTCTGAGTTAATGTCTCAAGCTGCTTGAGCAATCCTGGGCTCCCTGGTTGTTTCTGGTGTGCTATAATTAAAGGCCTTGGGATTGGATTTCAAAGAAGCCTAATGGTTTACTTGTCTGCATTCCTCCGAAAATCAAGCGATGTTTGATATCTAACTCCCTTTGGCAAACCAGCCCCAATCCTTTCTCCACCAGGCTCTTTCAGTAGAACAGTGCTGGTTTATGTTCATGGAGGATCAGGTTCTTAATATTGGTCTTGTGTATGGCCAGTTGTTTGTGTAAGTGCAGTATAAATCCATTCATAGATGCCCAAAAGCAAGCCTAAGAATAGATGGTATAATATTTATGTAGGACCCAACCCCACTGCGATTCCATACCCTGTGGTGTCTCTTCAAGCACCAGTCAGGGTTCCTACTTAATGGTGATGTCCCCAGCAGGTTTGTGCATGTTGAACTGTGGTAGAAACAGAGCAGGGGGCAGGGCTGTGAAAAAGGCAGTAGTACAAGACAAAAGAAATGAAGACAAAACGGCAGGAAAGACCCTTTATGTTCTGGTCTCCCATAAGGCATTAAAGCAATGGAGAACCAGATTTTCTCCTGCCTGCCTGGAGATGCTTAAATCTGCCCTTGCCATAAACTCGGCGAGGGCAGCGAGGCGAGGGCAGTCTCTGGTGAAGCCGCAGGGCGCTCTGATGCAAATTGCACTGCTCTGCAGCCTCGGCCTGCCATTTCCAAGGCTACCTTTGTGCATTGTTCGTTGTTCCCCCTGTAACAGTATCTGGGAACAAGGCTGCAAGGCCCAAGCTTCTTTCAGCACGGCGAATACTGCAACGTGATCTGGGCTGGCTGAGGGGGACAGCGACAGTTTGTTGACTCGATCCATGTTTGTGTGCAGGGGCCTTCCGGATATCCAGGGGAGCCAGGTGAAAAAGGGCAGCTGGGGTACATGGTAAGTGCAGCCTGCTCGTGTTGTTGCTCTTGGGGAGGCTGGCGGAAGTTCCCAGCCGCCGGGTGCTATGGGAGTGTGGGGCATGGGGCTTAGCTGTGCAGAGGGCCCTATTTGGAGAGGTATCGAGTGTGCCCTTGTTACTGTCCTTGGGAATCCCAGGAGGCCCAGCGTCCCCTTAGATCAGAGATGGGAGCTCTGGGTGAAGGAAAGTGGTAAAAATAAGGTTTGCTCCTGGTTTGGGACCTCTGCTGGGAAGTGTGTGCCTGGTTTGAAGGTTCATGTGCAGTGGCACAGAGATAATGTTCCAGACCTCTCCTCAGGGTTGGCTCTCCCTGAAAGAGGGCTTTTATGGGCTTGTGTTGACCAGGTCAGTGCTGCAGCTCCTAGACCCTCTGCCAGATGGGCGAGTGACTGCTCAACAAAGTCCATTTGGGTGCTGGACTCTGCTTTGTGTCTTGCAATACCCTCCCGGGCAGAAGAGCATGCGCTGGGGTAGGGGCGGTCCCAAACACTGTCCTTTTGTCTGCACATCATGTTCTGGAAACCATCAATCTCCTTCCCTTAAGCTATGGCTGAAGAATTATGTGAATCTCCAGCTCTCTGTGGCTCTTCCTTCTTCCTATGCTCTGCTGAGAAGAGCTGCCGTGCAGCCCGGCTGTCCCCTGGGACCAAGCAAGCACAGCTGGGTAAGGGGTTTGGATATCCCAGTGGATACAATGAAAGGAGAGCAGATGGCCGAATCCCTGAGCATCACTGGAGCTTTCCATTCGCTCTCCCACTAGCACTTGCTGGTACCCAGCCCTTGTGGGAAGAGCTGGCGTATCCCGAATTAAATATTATCTCATCAGAGCCAATTCACAGGTGTTCCCTCAGGCGCCCACCTGCCTCTCTTGCTCTGAGGCCTGTTTGTCCTGGGTGCTGCACGCTCAGAAGGGACGGCAGCATCCTTTGCTGCTGCTCCTCATCTCTCTGCTCACCAATGTACAAAAGCAGTTTCCTTCCTTCATCTCTCCTGTGCTTCCCATCCTATGCAGCATCCCTTCCTGGTGTCCTCAGCCACAGCACCTTGGTCCCCTCTGCTCCCTTTCAGCAACGACCTTCCTTTCTCCCTGCCATCATCTTTGTCATTGAATCTTCCTCCCTAAAAATTGGGTGGCTTTTCCTCTGCCTTGAGAAGAGGAGCCTCCTCCAGGCTGGATGTGCCAAGGACGGAGGGACAGGCCACAGTGGCCTGTCCTTGGACACAGACAGAAGGAGCTTTCTGAAATGAGTCTTAGCATTGCCCATGCTCTAGCCTTCCAAGGGTAGTGGAGCCTCATCCCGTCTGCCCACCTGGAGGCATTCGAGTTTCAGTGTGGAAGCATTGCAGAGCTTTCCTGGCTCGCACAGGGCATCTGCTGGTGTGGCCTCATGTCCAGGCCGGGAGGAGCCAGTTCCTGGGCTTGCAAGGATCAAAGCTGAAGGAGGACGTAGGCTGCAAAGGGCGATCCTTGCTGTGGGGAGGTTTCAAGAGGCATGGCTCAGGTATGCCAAAGTCCTTTGGCCTGACCCAAGCAGCCTTCCTCAGTCAGACAACGTTGTACCTACCAGCCTGATGGCAGGGACGGCAAGCAGGACTCGGGCTGGTTCTTGACAGCTGTGTTGAACCTTCACAGTACAGCCAAGAAAGCCTACAAAAAATCAGAGACCCGATATCTTGGGCAGGGAATGCAGCTACATCATTTCGGCCTAGATGCAAGACTGCTCTGTCAGACATCCTGCTGCAAGGTGGCCCATTACCCTCCAGGCCTGCTCAGCTGCAGCAGGGACGCCCTGTGTGGGTAGTGTTTTCCCAGCTGCCAACATCTGGAAGCCGTCACTGGCCTGTGTTAAGCCAGTTGAATGTAAACACTGGCGTCTGTCAGTGTAGCTTAATCAAAAGGTACAAAATTATTCTCCATCTTCACATAAACAGGATCTGTGAGGGGAGACAGTGGCTCATGGCGGGATTAGCACAGAAATGAAAAGGAGCTTTTTTTTTTCTCCTCCTCTCCTCAGATACATCTGTGAGCCTGATGTGTTCGCTCTGGGGGCAGCAGCTGCCGTCGCCGGGTGGCTCTGGCCCCTGCGCCGCGCAGGCGGCCGCAAGCTGGGGTCTCGGCTGTGGTTTGGCGCTAGCATCGCCTTTTCCAGCTCTCGCTGGCTGCTGTCCTGAGCCCACTCTGATGGCAGGGGTGTTGCTGGTGCCCGTCAGCGGTTGAACTCGATGGCCTTCATGCTTTGGCACCAGGGCTTGAACTTTCCTTCAGGCTCGGCCCCCCTGGGGGCCCCCAACCGACCCTACCCAGAG